TTGCATTTATTAGTGTGTGTACACAATGGATTTGGCCATCGATAGTTACACACATCTCTCATCGGGTGCCTTAACTGTAAATCCAAACGATGGTCTTGCGATGCTTCAGTCCAGCTGTGTGGTCAACAGCTCTCCTCGGGATTAGCCACGTTAGCAGCCACCAAGGCTGGCTGTAAAGTCTATCATTGCGGGCTGCTCCTCCAAACATGGGCTTCCCCCATCGTCCCATGCCACCTCTATAAGAAAACCTTCTGTTGCCTCTAAATTCAGTCTGACCGGGCAGGTGTTTGACAGTGAACTAGCCAGTCTAATATTGGGCTGGTGAATTGTTGCTCGGTTTAACTTGGTCTTACACGCTGGTGGCTTTCTGTACCTGTTGCTTCTGTAAGTTGAGGGGTTCGTTGTTTTTCATGGATGGCTCTATTTTACGAATGGCAAAAGAGATGGAATCATTTGAATGCAGTTTTTTTGAAAAGAAAAAAAAAGACATCTGCACTGCAGCACGTTCGAGAACACACTCTTTGCAACTAAAATCACTGCCTGCTTTCCCTTACTTCAACAGCCAATCAGAATCTATCAACATAAAAACATGTGTAAGCAATTATTAAACAACAGAATGCAATTTAGGGAATCTTAACGTGAAATAATATGATGCTCAAACATAAAATGATAATTAATAATATAACATAAGCTTACACTTCTTTGTGTCCATCAAGAGACACTCCTTGGGCCGTTTGCCCAAAAAAATATGGTTCCTCTGAATCATTTCTTCATCGGTAACTGGACCAGTGAAACATGGCACAGCCATCTGCACATTATCTTTCTCTCAACCAAGCCACCCCTTCTGGAAACAAATACAGCGATCGACCCCCTCAAGGTGGTGGTATTGCCTCCGTTTTCAAGAGCAACCTCAAATTTTTCAGTATTTCCACCTGTGAGGTTGAATATTTGAACTTATTGCGTTCTACTACAACTCTCCCTCAACCCCCTTGTGATCGCAATAGTTGACCCGCTGTCCCCCACCAAGTGGAACCCGTCATTTCCCTCTGACTGATTTTGTCATTCATATCACAGCCATCTTACTGGTGGTCTTACTTCTCTTTGACTTCAACTTCCATACAGATAACAAAAAAATTGCGGTTCGTTTATCGCGGCCTCGGTGCATCGCGGATTTTTTTCAAACATATTCATAAAAAAAGTTTAAAGAAAAAGCAAAAATGCCTCAAAAAGTTCACAAAAGGTCCACGAGAGGCAGTGAAAGTCAGCAAAACAACAGCGAGTCATATAGAGCAACATATACAGTACTACATGTATGTGTTTACTGTATTTCGTTATTCATACACTAACCTAAACTAACTTATAGATGTTTAAATATATTAGTATATAGCATTAAATAATGTTAATTACTACAAACATGCATGTATACCATTAAATTTGGCCTTATAAATATTATTTATACTCATATACATGTACATATACCTTTACTCGGGGGTTCACTACTTTGCAGATTTTCGTGTATCGTGGGACATTAACCACGATAAATGAGGGATTACTGTACTTCAATTTATGTGGATGAAAGTGACAGTAAATGATTCTCGACTAAAAAGTTACTATATGTATGTGAAACAGGAATGTATGCAAATTGGAGAGCCCATCTTAAATTCTAGCTGCTACTGACTGGGCAATGTCACTTTTTTAAATGAATGAAGAGAAAAGCAAATACTCACAAACACCTGCTCAAAGAGATTGATTTATTCATCGGATATGGTTTGAGTGTCCAAGTTGGTTGTACCAGTGTTTTTTACTATGTAAAAGAACAATTTTGAACAACTGATTGCTTGCCACCAAGATTCTTTGTAATAGTGAAAAGCACGTTGCAAAGGAACAATGATGAAGGGGGGGTCCTGATTGTCTTAGAAGTTTTTCAAGTCCTTGGCACAAACAAAAGATCGTCGACGACCACACGGTCGATCGTTCCATAATTCACCTGTGAGAATCCATAAATGAACACGTTGCTGGATTGTTGTAGATTTGCTTTGTCATTATTTCATATTTATCAACATGAGACGACTTTGCAATTCAGGTTTACAACACATGAGAAGATGATTTAAATCAACTATCAACAAAACTCAGAACTACTCATCATATTCAAAATTCAAAGATAAAAAGATGAGAGGATATATGATATACTGTATTTCATTCATCATGTGAGAATAATTAAGGATGGTAAAACTGCATTCATACCTTGAAAGTTGATCTCTGCACAGTCTTGATTTGTATCCGTTGTTCTTGGCCTGCCAGGAGCCCAGTCAACGAAATTAACGTCTGAGCCATCAGTCCATAAAAAATCTCCTTCCTGAAAGACAAAGTCACTTTTTCTTGTAATACTGTAGACCAAGGGTGGCCAACCCGCGGCTCGCGAGCCGCATGCGGCTCTTTGGCTGGTTTAATGCGGCTCCCGAGCTCTCACACGACAAGCGTCGAAAACGCCTCGGCAGCGGCGATGCCATTCAAATAAGGCGCCAACTTCTCAGAACGTACTCCATCAGCCTATCATTAATCCCGTTACTTGATTGACATAGAGGGCAACCAACCAGATGACTGCATCACTGCTCATGCGCAAACAACGGCGCTAAGTGCTAAGCTAGTCAGCGAATTACCTCTGATTTGAAAGCAGGGGTGCCCAATACGTCGATCAAAATCGACCGGGAGCCAGCGAACTGGTCCCAAGTCGACCGCAAGGGGTGGGAGGAGGAAATGGGTGGGGAAAATAAAGATTTGTTTGTTTGTACCTTGAGCTTTCATTCATTTTCGGCCCGTTCCGACTGTTGCTCATTGTGGTGTGAGTGTATGTGCGCGAGTGCATATGTGCATTTGAGCATCATACACTGTAACAAGCTCCAGACATTCATGGTGATGTTTAATTCTATCTTTTGTCATTGTAAGGGTGGGAAAAAAAATCAACAGAGAAGGAACGATAAAGACATTATTGTGGCTCAGGAATGAAACACTGAATAATTGACCAACTTTATGTCCTATCTGTAAATATTTAATGAATGTTAAGCTCTCGGTAAGAACAGAGATGCAGCCACAGGGCAAGCAATTGTGCAACCCTGCACTTGCCTCTGGTTCCCAGCTGAGGCAACAAGTCTGGTGACTTGTTGTTCCCTCATTTTTGAAACTAGATCAGTGTATACGAGAGTGAAATTGAAACTACAGTACTGTATTGATCTCATCACACTAGTTTGGATCCAATATTAATGCATGGTATGGGTATTATACAGTATATACTGTATTTGGATTGACCACAAGAACACATATGGTGGGCCTCACTGTTCGATCGAAACTTTATCAATGAAAAACTGCAGGACTCTATTGCACATTACAGGTGAATAGTATGAGCAAATAGGCTGAGAGGTTTTAAGTACAGAAGCAATAGTTTTTTTAAATAGTACACATGGGTTGTGACGGCCAGTTTGAATAAGGTTTGAGAAATGTTCTCTTGACTGGGCGTTTAACAACGCAATCATTGTGCAACCACAGGACTGTGTGCCTCTTTTGAGTGTCTAGATCAGGGAAATTCCCTCAAAAACTGGAGATTAACCCCTCGAAGGAGGCGTGGGGGACACTAATGCCGTGGAGCTTTGGGAGAACCGACAACTGGTACCAGGCACGAGTTGACAGGGTCCAGGGTGAGCCACGACTGAGTCAATCTGTGCATGCGTTTGAGAACGAGCAGAGGTCGAAGCGCGTATCAGTTCCTGAGGATGCAGCAGATATACTTCAATTATAAAGCATATTACCGTGACGTATGTATGAAGTGTCCCTGTTCAATGTGTGGTGTAATTCACTGAGTCCTGCAGCTCCGTGCTGCCTCGCGTCATCACTGCACAGGATGCGAATAAGCCTCCTTTGACTGGCGCCATCCAGGGCTGTAGCTAGTCATTTGGACACCAAAGGCAAACAATGTCAGAACCCCGGCGCCCCCTGTCCTTTTGCTCATTTTTGAAAAAATGTGACTTATGTATGTATATTATGTATGTTAATGTGACTTATGTAATATTTGTCTTGCTTTTTGAATGCGTTACAATGATTTGACAGCATGAATTAGCTTACTAATATTTACCACCAAAGATGTTGAATATGCATCATCTAATCAAAACAGTGTATTTCAGAAAATAGTGAATTTGAGAAAATGTTCCTATTTACTGGGCTAGGTAGTCCTTAATCTATCTAACAATGAAACATTTCATCATTTTGCAACATTTCAGAGATGAAAGTCCTCTGGATTTTCCCGGAATTCCGGGTTTTTCAAATTTTTATGAAAATTTCTCCGGAGAATTGAGGAAAATTTGCATAAAATTAATCCGGATATGAGTTGACAACATTGAACGAAGACGCGTTTGAGTTCGTTGTATTGCTTTCACGAGCGTAGCCATATTGAGGCACTAACACTAGTAACAGTAAAGAGATTTTTGTTTGTGTAATAACGACAGAAGACATGATGGCGTTTGACGAATGGTTTAGTCGAACGAATGGCAACTCGCAACAACAGTAGCAAGCGTCATT